AACTCACTCTGAGTGGTAGAGATGCTTTCTCCCACCTTGTCAGTCTTGAGTGATGTTCACCCATATCATTAGGACTCACTAGGACCCCAGGCTGCCTCTCTTCCCCTCCCGCCAGCCTCTCCTCTTGGCCGCTGATAGTGGCATCAGCCACCAGTACTTTGCTGGTAGCACCTTCTAACATTCAAGTGAAGAGATATAGTTGTGGCAAAAAAAAAAAATCACTGTAGAAGAACTCTTTGATTTGTGTTTGGACTTAGGGCAACTGATAACATTTATGTGATAAAATTTCATAAATCCCCCAAACATGCTGAACCATCTACCAAGAAAAAGTCCAGTTCTCTTCTGAAAAGTCCCATAGAACTAAGATTATAAATAAGTTCTTAGTGCATTCCAAATGTGGAGGCTATATTTCTATGGGGAAGGGAAGAGAGGAAGGAATTGATTTGCATTGTTGTAAGGCAGAAATCAACACAACACTGTAAAACAATTACCCTCCAATTAAAAAAGAAGAAGAAGAAGGGAGGGCGAAGGAAGGGGAGGGAAAAAATAAGTTTCTGTAGAGCAGCAATTCTCAACCATGGCTGTATAGTGAAATGTCTTGGGTGAAAAATATCACTGTTCAAGCCCACTTTTAAAGAGGTTAGAGTCCCGGGTGCCATCAGGGTTGAGTCAATGTAACATAGCATCATATTAATAAAATGGTGACTAAAGAATATTCATTTACTCAACAAGAGTGGCAACGCAAAAGGATTTGTTGTTCCGAATTTCTACCAAAAAGCCCACCAGCTTCTTATCACAGAGGTCGGAGAGGTCCAAAGGCTCCCTGAGAATTCCCTGTATCCTTGGCACAGTACTGCCATGTTCCTCAGTCCTGATTACTCCTCCTCAGAGGGGTGCAGGGCCATGTGCCATGCAATTCTCTGTATCCTCTCACCCTTCTAAAATTATTACCTCATCAATGCTTCAGGCTTGGTACCATCAGACCTCTTTTCCTGATAATAAGATAGACTCTGAGGCTTTTAGCATCCATAGATCACTCCCACAACTCTTAACTCACTAAAGGTTCATTCATTCACTACATCACAACTTTTATAACTGCTGATCAGTTGAAAACTACCTGAGGCAGAGTGATGAACTGGAAAGACTCTGCACAAACTGAAGGCTTTGAATCAAACTTCAGATGTGCCCATGCCTCTCTCCAGATGACCTGAAGCAAGTCACATAACCTTTCGAGCTTCTATTTCCTTAAATAAAAAGTGAGAAAGTTGGTTAGTGTCTGATATCCACCCAGGATCCCCCAGTCTGCTATTACTGTGTTTATTTATAAGGTGATTACTGTCTCAAATGTTATATGGTATATGATGTTCTTATAAACATTCTGGTAATGATGCTAATGAACAGTAAATGGTGAGAAAGTAAGTGCAGAGGATAAGCACAAGGAAAAGGCGAATTGTCCAAGGGAGCCACAAGTTGACAGATTGGCTTTCAAAGCATCGACAATATCCCAATAAGTTGCCTTTTTAAAAGACTACAGTGGATTCATATGGCAGGAAAATTTGGTAGGTTCTATTTTCTGCTACTGTGTCTACATGAAAAGACCCTTTTCACTCCCCTCACACTGGGAAAACCACACTTGCAAAATGAAAAAGGCAATGATCTGATTCTCTAGATGTTAAATTGCCTCTAAAAGAGAAAGGAAAAAATGTTAAAAAAAAAAATTCCTCTAATATGCCATGACACTTTTACAATATTCCAACCCGCAGTTCAGTTCCCTGTTTCTCTGTAGTAGCTCTTGCACCACATTTCTTCATTCTTTGCTTTCCAACAACCATGACCATCTCCTCATGCAGTCTCCTGCTTTAGACAATCCTGTCTGTTACCACTGCATATATCTCTATGCCACTTGATGTCTGACTTTCCTCCTCCAAAAAGTTGAAAGACTCCTTATTTCCTGCAGACCAAGTTAACCTATTTAGCACGGCATTCCCAGATCCCTACCATCTCACCTATAACATACTTTTTCTCTCCTTTTTCCTCAAAGTCAGTCTTGTCCACCATCTTTTCCATCCATCAGTGAAGTCACATGAAGTTCCTCCATTTGGCCTTTGCTCATGTCGTTCTTCCCACATGGAATGGCTTTCCCTATTTTCTCCTACATAAACTAAATCTGACCATTCTCAGAAGCTCACATTTCATCTCTGCTATGAAGCAGTCATGATGGTTTCCAAGGATCTGCCCTTCCTCCAACTGTCCTAGGCAACACTTCAACTCTCCCGGACTGTCTTGTTTGTGGCATGTTCCTATTTACACTGCATGTTCTGAAGGACAGAGTCATTCAGTGCTTCTATCAAGCTGCTTTTTTTAATTAAAAAAAATTTTTTTTTGGCTGCACTGTGTAGGCATGTGGGATCTTAGTTCCTCAACCAGGGACTGAACCCATGACCCCTGCTCTGTACATGTAGAGTCTTAACCACTGGACTGCCAGCAAAGTCTATCATTCTTGCCTATCTTTTCCCCTTCCCTCTCCGCTTCTCTCCCTCCTTTCCTTCCCTTCTTCCTTCCTTTTACTTTACCACAATAGGTACAGTAAAATTTCAGGAATACGCTAAATTAGCAGTAATCACCTTACAAATAAACACAGTAATAGCAGACTGGGGGATCCTGGGTGTTTTTCTCTTCCACAGCCTAAGCAACAGGACACACACATTCTCTGTGTCCCTTAGCTCTTAGCTTGGAATCCAACACCCTTCAACAAGTGCCATTGTAAGAATACTCAGTTTTAGGACACATTTCCAAGTTGAGGTTTCACTTCAAAATTTTATGCATAAATTTCCCAAAAGTGCAGAAATGGTCTAAGAAATAGGACAAAATTTAAAGAAAAGAATGCAATATTCCAGTCATTAAATCACTTACTCATTTCAATAGTGTGTTAAGTCATGCACTCCTCTGAAAGAGCTAGTGGTAACAGAATTGGAAACTACTGAATCAAAAAAGGACCTCACCTTCTAGTTTTAGAGATGAATCAGCTGGGGCTCCTTTAGAAACACCAAGTCTAAAGGAGGTACTGCCTCTTGCAATACTGTTTGCCTTTCTTCTTCTTCTAGCAGCCCCTCTCCATAAAGGTGTTCCTCTAATGTCTGCCAGTCTGTTCCCTATTCATCACTTTCCAAAGATTGTCTGTAAATGAAATGCAGAGACAAAGTTGGACAAGCCGATCAGCCTACATCTGTCCCATTTTTTGCAATGATCTTATTTCTGCTTCCTGGATAGAATAACTTTCTAGAAGGGAGCTTCCAGTCTTGGTAAAGAATTTTTGTGAAGGAGAAGGGTAACTATAGGGAGGTGAGTTATATACTTAGATATGCAAAGAATGATTTTGAGTCTGAGGACAAGCAGAAGTGGGTTGTTTCTACTGCAGCTTTTGCATGGGTCTTAGAATTCCCCAGTCAGGCTTGGCCAACAGTTAGGAAGGATATATAACCCTTTTTTGCCTCTTCCTCCACAGGGAATGGAGTTGTATATCCCACCCACAACCTCAGGGACAACACCCCTCAAAGTCACACAGGGACCCAGAACACTCTGGAAAGACCTTCCTTCCCTCTGCACCAGGTGACTCAGTGGTAAAGAACCCACCTGCCAGTGCAGGAGAGGAGGGTTTGATCCCTGGGTTGGAAAGATCCCCTGCAGGAGGAAATGGCAACCCACTCCAGTATTCTTGTGTGGAAAATTCCATGGAGGGAGGCAAGCCGGTGGGCCCCAGTCCATGGGGTCTCAAAGAGTGAAACACGACTGCGCACAGCACACACACCGTCGGCAAAATCTTGACACACCCAGAGAAAAGAAGGGTGGGACCCTGCCGACCCACCTCAGTCCTGGTGCCAGGAGAAGATGGAAACATTTTTCCCCTAAAATTCCAACTCAAATTTCACTTTGTTGTGTTTTATTTTTTAAAGGTTGAAAATCAATGGCAACTCCACTCCCTCGCCTCAACCTGTTTTTCCTTTTCCAAGAGAGGTAGGCGCTATCCTTGCGCGTTCTTTTGAAGTAGCTGCCTAGGGACTTACCGCTGGAGAAGCGGTTTTACCTCTTTAGACCTTAGATTTCCCGTCTGTTCATTAAGGTTGATGGATGGTGTCTACATTTTCATGCCCCGTAAACGTGGGAGCCCCTGAGCCCCACGGCCCTTGACTTGAGTGACTAGCACAGAAATAGTTAAAGGTTAAGGATCTCTCAGATGGAGACGTGCTAACATGGGGGTGAGGATGCCAGGCAGCAGATTTGTAGTCTTGCCCAGCCTTGGCCTCAAAAATATCCCTCTCAAAGATTTGCCGATGGGGAGGCTGCAGCGGGGTCTCCGTTTCTAAGTCCTGCCCTCAGGCGCCCGGGCGCGGCTCTAGCTGGAACCTGGACGCCAAGCAGCTCACAGCATCCTCAAACCCGAGTGAGCCTGGACGCCTGCTGCTAGCTCGGATTTCCACAGCCCTGTCGCTACCCCTCCTCAAGGTCCCTCTAGGTCTCCACTACTTTCCACTTCCCCAAATTCTTCCAGCCGCCAGCTACACTTTGGAGCCCCTGCCTTGGACTCTGAGAGCCAGTGCTGCCGCGGATTGGGGCGCCCTTCAGAGACGTCCTGGGATCCAGCGCCCCGACCCAGCGCCCCACTCAACCACCACCCACCGCAGGCTCTCCTGTTTAGCAGCTCCCCCACGCCCCGTCTCAGGACCCTGCCGTCGCCTTCCCCTTGAACTCCCTGGGGGCTTTCCGGGCGCACTTCGGCATCCAAGCAGGGAGACCTCCCCAGACCCCATCCCCGCTGCCTCTTCCCGTGCAAAAGAAGAGCTGGTCAGTGGGGAGAGCGCCTGACCCAACCCAGCCACCCGGACTGGCCCTCTGCTGGGCGGGGGCGGCCAAGGAGCCGGGCCTCGCTGGGCTCCGGGGCGCGCTCCGCTTTCCCCGCCTGGAGCAGCCCAGCGAGGGAACCCTGCGCCAAAGCGCCGGAGCCGCAGCTCCCCGCCCGCGGAGGACCCCGCGCTCACCCCGACCCGGGGACGCCAGAGGCCCCGGCACCGCTGGAGCCCCTCGCAGCACGCCGGAGCGCCAGCGGCCCCGCACGCTCCTTTTCCGGCCCCCTCCAAGGAGGGGCGCGCGGGGGCCCCAGAAGCTTCTCCCGCTCGCCCTCCCCCACCCCTTCCCCAGCCCGCCCACCCGACCCGCGCGGCGCGGCGGCGTTGCGCTCGGATTCGGGAAGGAAGCGCCGCGCGGTGTCCCCGGCGTCCTCAGTCCTGCCCCCCGAAGTGGAGATGCGCGAGTGGCAGGCGAGGGCGCGCAGCTCGTGAGACGCCGCGCCAGCCGGCACCATGCGCCTGCGGCCGCTGCCCCTCGTGGTGGTCCCCGGCTTGCTGCAGCTGGTGAGTGCCCGGCCCGCTGCGCGCCCCGCGCCCCGCGCCCGGAGCGCCAGGGCGGCGTTTCGGCGGGAAAACCGCGCCGGTGGCAGACTCAGAAGCGGAGCCTGGGGCTGCTGGGGACCTGGGGCTGGGGGCGCGCGCAGCGGAGGGAGTTTGGGGCTTTGCTTTAGAGGTTGAAGCGGAAGAATCAGGAGTGGGATTCAAAGAGGACCCTGAGGCGGGTGAGGGGCTTTTGTTGGGTTGAGACTGGAGGACTGGAGTGAAAAGGGCAGAAAGTGGCAGGAAAGAAGGTGCAGAGAGAAAGAAGAGATTTATTGAGAAGCGATCGAGGAGGGAAGGAGGGGAGAAGGCTAGACGGACGTGATGAGGATGGGCTGAAAGACCCTGAGTTCGAGAGGCTTGGTGGTTTTTATTTTTCACGTGGTATTTTGCACGGATGCCCGCAAACACTTCTAAACCACGGCATCGTGCATCCTTGTTCTCAGGACCGATTAGGGGCTCCTTGGTGGGGAAAAACTTAGGCAAAAGACCGATTTGGGAGACAGATTGTATTTCTCTTCGTTTTCCAATCTGGCGTTGGGGACTAGGATGGGGTGTTGTGCCGACGGGGAGGCAGGATGTAACTTTCAAGTCCAACTCCACCCTGTCATCTCTAAGCATTCTGTTCCCAAAGACCTCTCCCGTCGGTTCTGGGCGGCTCGGGGGGAGCTGAGGAATGGGAAGGGAATGAGAAGGTGGCGCAGGGTCTGCCAGCGAGGCGACAGCTCCAGGGGTGACTCTCATCTCTCCTTGCCTGGAGGCTTGGCGCCAAGCTCTCCTCCTTCCGAATTACCTGTATGCTCTATGGATTGCTAGATAATTCTGTTTAAGGGAGAGCCCAAGTAAAATCTTCAAGAAAACAACTTTTAAAATAAAATTCTGTAAGGGGATTGCTGTGGCTCAGTCCACGTCTGTGATGGGTCTCTCCTGCTCTCTTGGCACTTAATACTGTGCTATTAAGAGGGCTTTCGCCAGAAGCCAGGGCTTCTTTGGTCCTCATACTTAAGACTTTGCCCAGTTGAATCTGGGCTGTTAAAACAGGGGTAAAGAACACAAGCATGATGATCTGTTCTTCCCTTTCTTCCATCTTTCCTTCTCTCTCTCTCTCCCACTTCCCCGAGGGAAAAATCAAGTAACTTATTAAAGTTTCTGTATGATACATATCATACTGTAGACGCAGAGATATTTGCAAGTTTGGGCATGGAAGGAACTCGAAAATCTCTTAGTGAATGGGGTGAGAACACCGAAAGGCCTGTTCATTCTTTGTACAACAGAGAGGAGCTTCACCTGCTCAGCATTAACTAAGAAATTCTTCAATGGCATCAAGAAGAAAATGTAGTGATGCTCCCACGTTGTCGTTGAATGAGCCAGCACATACTGGCTATATACAATATTGCATGCTAAAATATATTTTGCATTCCAGGCGTTAAGCGTGCCACATATTTTTCACATTAGTCTTCAGTATCATTTGTTTTTTAAAATGCTTGATCTGGATGCCAGTACAATATGATCTGTACATTTGTATGGTATGTATTAAGTTAAACTATAAAAGCCTGGGGAAATCAGGTACTTAGGTTACTTAGGTAGGATCTTCAAGGATCTCTTAATTCATTCATTTTTTTTCATTCATTTAACTTTGCATTCAGTGATCATCAACTGTGTATCTGTTCCACTGTATTAGACTGTTAAAGATGAGGGACCGTATTGGGGGATGTGTGGGGAAAAGTTCTCCTATCAGCTACTGTATGGGGAATGTTAGATTTTTTTTTTTCCTCCACACCATCAGAGTCAATAGGGAATAAGAAATACATCTTGACAGGATTATATACCTTCCATAAGGGCTAGATTCTAATATTACAGCATGGATTGATTGATTAGTTTTTAAGGAAGTGTATGTCAAATTCTAATCCATTTTTGGATTGTACTTGGGTTGTAATGTTTTTTTCCTGGAGCACTTTATCATGGTAAGTGCGGTGGGGAGCTGCAGCTGGGTGATAAGCACACATTCCTTACACTGCCATCCTTTTGGACAATAAAAAGCTGTTTACATTCTCCACAATCTTATATCTGTTTCCAGCCTTATAACACAAGGGGGTTAGAATGTGAAAGGAAAACAGAATGGCTGAGCTGGGTAGATCTAAATGAAACACCCCCCAATCCCAACATTCACCCCACCCCAGCAAGTATCAAAAAAAAAAAAAAAGTAATACATTGGCACTTTAAATGGCTTCCAATTGTATTCTACCTTTTCAGCTAATATTGAACTTCTTTGCTAAATCCCAGGAGCAAGTGGATCAAATGTTTGAAAACTAATTTTTTCACTTTCTAGGAACCAGATGGACTTAGTCCATCTGCCCTTGGTGGGAAGCAGAGGGAACAAGGTTGAATTATTGTTGGCAATGGATTTTACTTTTCTATTCCCACTGCCGTCATAAAATGCTAAATATTTTTAAATGAGTAGTGGATTCATTTGGGGATATTGAAATTTTAATTTTAAGAAATTTGTCTGATTCATATGAAAATAGTTAGAGGGAGTTCAGCCCAATTAAGTCACTATCATATAACACTGGTACAGGTTTTTACTTACTTGGGAGATATTTATAATTTTTAAGAAAACATTAAGCTGAATGGATAAATATTGCAGGTAAACTATGAAGTATGTGTGTCTGTGAACTGTCCTTGCCCAGTTTTCCTGGCCTGTGTTACGGGTTTTGTTATACCTAAAGTAAGATTACTAGGCATTTGCAGAATCTAAGTAGCAATCCCAAATGTATTAATTTCTTTGAAATTCTTGTACAGCAACATATTCTTTATAAAAACATTAATAGCACATTATTTCTCATCTGCCATCGAATGAAAAGAATATTAGCATTTGGAGTTAACATTATAATAAAATGAGTGTTATTTTGTGACATGGTACAAGGTAAAAACTTCGCCAGTTGACAACTTCTTGCAGATTTGCATTATTATTTGTAACTCATAATAAGTGTGATTTTTGCCTCTAAGTAAAATGCAGATTGTAAAAAAGATTAAATTTGAATTTAAATGGATGATTAACTTGAGTTTAAGATAAAATTTAGTGGTGATTTTAAAAATTAGTTTGTTATACTTTTCAACTTGTTTTTCTGGGATACAATGATGAGTTTATCAAGTAAAATATAAATTAAAAAAGCGATGCAATTTAGCAAATTTTTAGAAACCTATAAAATTGGAATACTTGTGATGCAAAGTGTTACAATTTTAAGTTCATCATTATACAGTATTATCCCGATGAGCTTATTGAGGTTATTTTTGTTTATTTTAACAAATTGTTAATTCTAATAGTTATTAAGTGTGATAGTCATAACATATATTTATCCACAGCTCTGTATTTATAAGAAGTGATAATTAATGACTGTCTTCATTCAGAAATCACAATTTCCCTCATATAGTTTTGATCAATAAGCATCAAAACAGTGTTTCCTAGTGTAGGATCAATAATTGTCTGTTGCCTAGATGACAGTGCTGAGGAGAAAAAATACCACCATATCATGGTTACAACTTAGAGTTGGCTGGGCTTTAAAATGGACTCCTCATTAAAAGCATCATTATCTTAGACATTATTTAAAAATGAGAATTGGTATTAGACAATTAGACCCTGTGTTCCAGCCACTCACCTCCCAGTATAAATGGTGTTCCCTTGGCCTGTTCTAATTTTAAGATTATGTTGTGTCCTTCAGTTTTAAATGCTTTCCACATGGGAAACTGACTCCTCTTGGGAACTTAGTTTATAGCTCAGTAGATTTCCGAATGGAAAAGAAAGGCATTGTTACTTTTCATTCTGTAGTTTTTTCCTTAATTTTCTTTTCATTGTTTCTGATTAGTGGTCAAAATGCTAAGTGAGGCACAAGGCTTTTTTGAAAAACCTTTTAGAGGTTTTACACTGTCAGCTTAAAATGTGTAGCTCTTGCAAACCTAGTGAATTAAAAAATGTTGATTTTCACAATACACGGCCCACCTTTTATCTATTAAAAAGCTAATCAATACATTGTGAATGATTTCATTATTTAGTAGTAAGCAATCAGAGATGAATATAAATGTGTCACAGGTTTGTGACTTTGTAAAGGCTCCAGGGCTCTCTCTTACTGTTTGCATATTCTGTGGACTCTTTTACCTGAAGCTTTGCTGGGTAAGATTTGAAAAAAGAATTATAGCCACACACTCAAGTGCCTACAGTTAGGGCTGTGTCAGCGTTTCTGTAAAGAATCTCATTTCTATCTTAGCCATAAGCATTATTGCCGGTTAGAAGTTGGCATTTAATATCTTGATTTTGGAGTCAATTATATTAAAGCTGCTTTAAAAAATTGGTCCAAATGATTTTGAGCACTCATCCATGTGAGTTCATTCTCTAGGTATTCTTATAGTATGTGTAATGATGATTTAATAAACTAGTTTCTATACTCTTCTTGGTTATAATTTAAATTGTACTATGTTTAAATTATTTTTCAATAGTCTCTTCCCAGTTAACCTATTTATTGAACCACTGTAAGATTTTGAAACACTGTTTCATCATAAATAATTTTAATTGTGCCCAATTCAGATGCCTTAGTCCTTGTTTACTAACAATTGTATGTCTTTATTTGCTAACAGTCTATTTGAATATTTTATTACTTGTCATATGACCCAGTGGTGTTGATGACAACTCCAAAGTTATGTTCAATAGAAAACGATATAAAGTAATTTACAGTATAGATTTTCATATTATAGAAAGAATTCTAAGATAGGATTGACTGAAAACTTCCAATTGATGTTATTTTTAATTTATGAAAATCTTCAAATAACTGCTTCATTTGTTA